GGCAGCTCGATCAGTTTTTCGAGACTTTTGCAGAGATCACCAAGCAGGTGAATGCTTAACTTTATGATTTGACATATTTTACCACAAAATTGGCTGGTAAACTGGTCTGTTGGAAGTGGTCCTGGGGTGGATGAATTTTTGGCAGAATCTAATAAGTGGCCAAGATTTCACTCAAAAGGATACATTTCTGTTATGCTTCTTGAATAAATGGCCTCCAATGATTCCTTGAGTGTTGCCCCTGATGCACTAAAGTACAAAGATGTGTCACCAAGCTTGCTCTCACTGCAATGATTCAGTAATGTAAATTGTACTCCTGAACTGAAACGTGAATCCTTTTATTTCCAGAAAAACATCACCTTCATCAGAAATACAGGTGTGCGAGACACCATCTTCAACCTGACCTTGACAGCCCTGGCTCCTAAATTTGAAGGATTTGAGCCTGAAGACTTTGAGCTGTGGTTCCAGGTCAATTTGTTTTCTGTGATGGCGAGCTTCCACCCTGGCAGATTGGTGGTGATCCCCAGTAACATCAGCTGTGCATCCTACGCGGCTATGTAAGAGATAATATGTCTGCAGTCCAAAGCTGAACATTTAAAGTTTGCAGGATGATGTCAAACTTTGGCTGCTGACAAGTCACAATGATTTCTGTTTTCTTCCTTCAGACTCACTGGTCTTCGGCAAAGTTTGGAATCCCTGCCCGTGCACATTTCACGGGGTGTGAGATCAAGCATAATGTCCCTCAAGAAGACATTCCCACGTAAGTGGCCAAATGCTCTGCTGACAAACTTTTTCAGATTTGCCCATTGCCACTCGTGTGCTGATAGCTGTACTGATGCCATGCCTTCATTTCAATATTTTCTTAAACAGGTTGCTCAGTTCCAGATTCCTTCATGGTGAGTTCATTTCTATGGGTGTACTGATGGGTTTTACAATATTTGATCAAAATTTACAAGGACACAATTTTGGCACACAAACTTGATGCTGTTTGATGTATTTTAACTTTAAGTAGCTTTTGCTACCAGACTAACAATTATGCTTTGCTTGTCTCCAGTGCAAGGTGACCCCGATTGATGGTAAGTTTCTAAATTACCAGATGTTTCAACTTTGATGACGAGATCGCATTCTGAAAGTACAATATCTGATACACGACTATTGTCTTTTCACAGAAGACCTCATCTGTTATGGAGTTAAAAGGTGGGTGAATTACTGTTTTGTCTGGTGCTGGGTTTATGAAGGTAAGGTTCTCTTACACAATCTAACTAAGGTGACAATGGTTAACTTTTTTATTCTTCTCTTAAGATCACAACTCGAACAAACCCTGTCTGTTGGCAATTCCTCTGAAGCCCTGTGCAACTTTTCCATCACTGAGCATGCCTGTTCCTCGGTAAGACTGTTATCTGTAAGCTGTAAATCCCAGACCAAGATGTGGCTTTTGCTACATTACCGTCCTGATACTAATCTCCATGAGCTTTGAAAGTTTTTGTTTCATTTCTTTTCAAATTTTTTCCAAGGCTACACATCTCACAGCCAGCAACTTGGTCACACTGATGAACTGCTCACTGGAAAGCCAAAGGACATACCCCGTAGAGATCTGGAAGCTTCTCTTCCAAAAAGCTTCTGCGGCACTAGACCAGGCTCTGGAGACATACGCCAGCATGGTAAATCCAATCCCAATGTTTCACACATTTGGTGTTTCCCCGTGGGAATTCTGTGTCAAACCAAAATTGTTTTTTTCAATTCCAGGCCCCCAACAACAGCAACCCGTCCTTGTCACATGCGCTTGAGGCTCTTGGGGAGGTGACAATAGCCAACTTCAGCCAGGCACAACTGCAGAGTGATGTCTTTGTCAGCAGCTGGTTCCAGACAAAGATCCGTCCGTTTCTAGCCTCTCCATCCCCCAACTTCCTATTCTGCCTAAGCTCCAAAAACTTCAGCTGCCATACCTACCAGATTGTGTAAGCACATGTGTGATATATTACTCCACTGTGAACAAGGTTGCAGAGGAACCTGTTGTTTTGTAGTTGTTATGGTATTAAAAGTCTTCTCTCAAATTTAGCATCCAGGCATTCAGTAGCCAAAGGCCATCCATGGAGAGAAAAAGACAGCAAGCAGTCTTCACTCATTTCATCAAGCCCTTCCTTTCAAGAAATGACTCATCAGGTACAGGCAAGAGCTCAGGTTCAAATTGGTAAAGTCTCGATAGCATGTGGTAGTTATACCTTGACAATGACTTTGTTTCTGTCTTCGT